CTAGGTATGTTAATAAGTTTTGTTATTACATTAATTTTTAAACATAATTTTATTAAATTTTAGGTGCCATAAACAAGAATTTATGTCTATTTGTGTTAGATATACAAAAGGTCTAGAAGTATTTGAAATATTTTTGGGGTTTATTGATGTATCTGAAAAGCAAGATTCAGAAACCCTTGTTCAAACTATTTTTACATTTTTGGACAAATTAAATTTAAAAGATATTCCTATATTAGCACAGTCTTATGATGGGGCTAGTGTCATGTTTGGTAAAAGAAATGGTGTTCAAGCCAAATTACAAATTCAACACCCACAAGCAATTTATACTCATTGTATGGCTCATAGAGTCAATCTAGTTGTTGTTGACATGTGCAAAAATATAGAGGTATACTTTTCTACCTACCATTATTGTAATTATGGTAAAACATCTAATACTTTTATCATTTTCATTATGCAAAACATTTCTTTAACGCTATTGAGTCATTGTACGTTTACTTCTCTCGACCTTCATCCAATAAAAAGTTAAAAGAAATGCAACACATGAACATTAAGGCGTCAAACTTAATGAAGATCAGTGATACCCGCTGGGTTTGTAGATATACAAATTGCCAAGCTGTTAAAAATAACTATGAAATTATTTTAGAAATTTTAAGAGATGAAATTAATAATAATAATGATATGGATGTTGCACAAGCAATAGGTATATTAAATATTTTCAGTTAATAAATACATGTATTAATTTAAAAAAAATAATTAATTAAATTTACCTCATTTATAATTTAGGAATTCAAACCATGATAAAAATGGGATCATTTATAGTATTTTTGTTTTTTTTTTTAAAGTAGGTACTCACTTCAGAGTCATAATTCAATAAACATGCATTGCATATTTATTGATTGACTATGTACATTTTAACTTTTTATATAAGTTTATAACTGTAATGACTATTGATGTTGTAATTCAATACATTCAATTTTAGCATAGTTTAATAAAAAATAGTCAAGGACTTAAGTCCCCCTTGTTAATTAGAGTATGCTACGCTCATGTTACAATAAAAAGAAATATAAAACAAATTAATACATCAAAAAAATTTAAATTTAAAATTAATGATAAAGTAAGAATATCAAAGTATAAACATATTTTTAGTAAAGGCTATACACCAAATTGGACAACAGAAGTTTTCATTATTTCTAAAGTTTTAAATACAGATCCGATAACATATCAACTAAAAGATAGTTTAAATAATTTAATATTAGGACATTTTTATGTACAAGAATATAAAAAAAACATTTTTTCTCGATACCTTTCTCATTGAACGTGTTATAAAAAAAACATAAAAACAAATTTATGTAAAATGGCTTGGTTTTGACAATAGTCATAATTCGTGGGTAAATGTAAACGACACTTTAAAATAGTTAATGTTTGTGCAACGGTGCTTTTGCTCCGCGGGGCGTCGCGTCGGGTGTCGAACATTCGCGACGATGAACCCCGTCCCTCTCACCCACACGTGATCGCGCTGCCAGCCGCGGGCTACGATCGTCAATTTGTTCTCTCCGCACGTCCGTGCTTGGCAGGTCGAATTGTCGTTTTTCGTACCCGCGCCGCCTTTTGTCGTTGATGTTGTGTCCGGATCTGTCCGTCGACACGCCGATTTGTATACGCGCGTTTTCCGCTCGTTGTGTTTTATTTGTACTTGGCCGTTTTCGACCTCCACGTGTGTCAACGTGCCAGTCCGTTACTGACTTAGGTAACGTTGTTTCTAGTTTCATTCACCGTAGTGCGTGTTCGGACCCCCTTGTCGTCAATCACTGTACGCGTGAATAATCTGCGATCGCGTTCGTGCGTTATACCGTGTACGCTTGTCGCGTCGTTAAGTGCGTCCCCGTTCGCTGATCCATCGTGGGTCGCGATCGGCCGAATTCGGGTTTTTCCCGTAATTTTCTACTGCACCCTGTGGTACGCCTGTGGTGACCCACAACAACAGCGTTTTGTAACCGCGGTATCACCGCGCCCCTCTCCTTTTAAGTTTAAATACTGCGGGTAACACTGCCTCCATGACGCGACCGTTGCCGACAAACGCTCACTCTTTCGGACGTACGTCGTAAAAACGCACCGCGACCGCGCTCTCACGATACGCAACGTTACGCCGGGCTACCAGATTGAAACCTCGTTATTTTAGATTCACGTTGTCAAATTTTACTTTTTGTCTATATTGTTTAAATACACGTACATACAATTTTTAACAACCCATATTTGCAATTAGTTTTTATTTTATCTAAATTGGTAACCTTCACAATTTATTGACAATCCGTCAATACCTACTTTACCAAACGCCGTTACGCCCCGAGCGCCGCACCAGTCAGGTGTGCCAATTCCGTCATCGCCGGTGCGTTCGAA